TATAAGAGCAGGTTGTATGATGCATGCATTAATTCTAGAGATTTGGAAGGGTTGCCTTCGGCCTGGAAATACTTAATCAAACGATTTGAGAGCTCTTAATTTAATGCCTTGATTTTAGTATTTTTGCATATTCTTGCATTTTATTGAATTTCATATAATGTATTATTATATAACGTTTTAATATTTAATTATCCTATGCATACACAGTAGAACCTCGATTATCCGGACCTCTATTATCTGGATTTTCGATTATCCGGATTGTTCAAAATACACAAAAATTTTATGAATTTGCTGATTTGCACTTGGTGAATTACGACACTGTTTATGTACATGATGGAATACATAACTTTTTTTGTTTCAACAACGTCTCACCCAGCACAGTGGTCGTAAACTCTTAAATATATTTTACATCGTAATAAAAATATAACTTCATATACGTATTTATAAATAATTTATATTCAAATTACATCATTTCTATGACCATGGGCGGCGTAAGGCATGGATGATGTGGGCCACCACCTATGCCTCATGGTACAAAGGCCTCATGCCTCGAAGGTTTATGCATTAATTAAAAGCTGCGAACACGACAAAAAAATTTTACTCGTCATAAAACGATAAATAGTTTGTCAAATTTTTATTCATAAAAATGCAGTTTCAACTGCTTTTTATTTTATAAAATCCATCTTTTTGCACCACCATAGGGCCTTTTAAACAATAGGTAGTCTGTTATTGCTGGTCAGTAGTAATCCAAATTCAATACAAATGTTTGTTTCTTGAATATTTGATCACGATTTAAATACAGTATTTATTTTTAATATTACTGATATGTCATCGAAAAGAAAATGTGTTGTATTATCATTAAAAGACAAATTAAAGTATTTGTTTCGATTATCCGAATTTTTCCTTATCCGGACTACCTTCATCCCCAATTAGTCCGGATAATCGAGGTTCTATTGTATTTATATATATATTTTGTTATTTATAAGAGTAATTTTTATTTTATTTTATTTTTCTTTATACGTTTATGTATATATATATATATATGTGTGTGGCATTCATTATTTTTATTTGTATTTAAATTTTTGTTCTATTTTATTTATATTTGAATATCTTAGCCTGATGATGGCCAACAGATTTGGCTGAAAACGTTTGCTTTTTCATTAAATTTTCTCAGCAAATTAAGGTGGTGTATTTTTTTGATATATATTGAACTCTTAAGTTGATAAATATAATATCCCAATACATTTAATAAAACATTTAACACATTATAATGATGAGAAATATTTATTAAAACACAAATGTTTTCAGCCTAATGGAATAGGCCATCATCAGGTGACAGGCTATTGAACAACTTTGAAAATTGCATTAAAACAGAACTTCCAAACATTACAAATTCAAAATTGAAACGTAAAATAAATTAACCAATCACTATACAAATAACTATAATAAATAGATTGAAGCCGTATTAATATAAATAATAAAATAAGGCGATATAAAACTAAAAACAAAAATAAACCTAAAAGATTAAATTCATAAAAATATATATATATATCAAAAAGCATCACATTAAAAAAGGCAGATAGGAACTAAGAATTTGTGTGTTTTAACTTTTCTTTTATAAAGAACTTCCATGCCGAAGCTAAACCATCAGCATCCCTTGCATTGATACAACCGTCCCTTAATTTACTCTTATAAATTTCAATTTTTTCATGTTGCAAAGCCAACAATGGGGACCGCAACGTCTTGAATAGACGCTTCATTCCATTTAACTACCGAAGCCTCCGCTTGTGCCATACTTGACAAAACCGTGGTACAATGTCCTTTACTAATGTCATATCTGTGTTCGTTAAGCCTAATTGCCAAATTCCATCTAGTGACTCCAATATAGTCCTTCATAATTCCTAGCTATTGGTTCTCAAAGGGAATTTTATACACGCCCGCTATTTCTTCTTTCTTAAGCTTGTCCTTATCGTTTCTAAGAATACTGTATAAATTAGGACCTCTTTTGTAAATAATTTTGGAGTGTTTTCTGTCTGAAACTTGCTTCATGATGTCCCTGAAGTTTTTATTATACGTAAATATGGTGATCTTAAATTGATCTGCTCCGGTTCTTAACCTCTTGCCTCTTTCATAACTTTTTATTAGCCCTTCAATTGTACTTTTGCTTCAGGGACATCATGAAGCAAGTTTCAGACCAAAAACACTCCAAAATTATTTGCAAAAGAGGTCCTAATTTATACAGTATTCTTAGAAACGATAAGGACAAGCTTAAGAAAGAAGAAACAGCGGGCATGTATAAAATTCCCTTTGAGAACCAACAGCTAGGAATTATGAAGGACTATATTGGAGTCACTAAATGGAATTTGGCATTTGGACTTGTAAAGGAAATGTATAAAGGGAATGACTCAAGTAAAGAGTTATGTAAGTATGACAGAGGGATCCACTGTGAGAGTTGGACTGCACCAGAGCTCAGCCCTTAGCCTGTTCGATTTGATGATGGATATGAAGAGTAAGACACTATGGAGTATGCTGTTTGTGGATGACACTGTGCTATGCAAAACATCCCGTGATAAGATAGAGAAGAAGCTAAAGGAACAGAGAAAGTGTTGGAAGAGAAAAGCATGAAGATAAGCAGAGCAAAGATAGTATATATGACATCTGGTGGAGGGAATGAGAATTACATAAAATTTTAGGGTGAAAAGTTAGTAACAGCTTCCAAATTTAAGTATCTTGGATCATATGTAGCAAGTGATGGCAAAATTCAACAGAGAAGGATGGAGACAGCAGAGATGAGAATACTGAGATGGATATGTGGTGTGGCAAAGAAGGGCAGAATTAGAAATGATTACATAAGAGGAACAGTCAGGATGCATGAAAGTAGATTATTAAGATGATTTGGACATGTGGAGAGAAGTGAAGACTATGTTGGAAAGAGAATTGGGAAGTTGGAAGTGATAGAGAGGAAGAAGCATAAAAGACTGAAGATGTGTTGGAGAGAAAAGCTGGCAGAGGATTTGGGAGAGAGGGGATGGAGGAGAGATATCATCCTGGATAGAGAGAAGTGGAGAAGACAGATTAAAAATGGAATGCTGACCCCAAAACTTGGGAAAAAGATAAGACAAAGAAGGAAATTAATTTAATTGTAATTATTAAATTTAATAGGAGATAGCACCTAACACTTACCCTTAGTCCAAATTATTTAGCATTTTATTATTAATAGCAGCAGTAATAGAACCTGATCTAATTTGGCAATCATTTTACTTTAATATGTTATATTCAATTATTTTAAATTTATTTTTTCTTTTGTATTTGTTTTTATTTTGTACTTTGCACATTAAATCATCTGTTTCATTTTTTATGCCTTGAAGTAATCAAAATCTTACTTTCTTAAATAACTTTCATAAATAAATTCTTTTAAATCTTGATTCATCTTACTTTTTTACTTTCTTAAATGTATTAGAAATTATTAATATTTAAAAAAATATAAAACACATGAAAAATCTAAAGTAAAAGAATTTCTTTTAAAACATTAAGAAGAATTTTGAACCATCAGAGAGCAAAGCAGCCAATCTAATGTATAAAGTAGGAAATAAAGAATAAAAGAAAAACTTAAATTTAAAATATTCAAGTCTGAAGATCTGAAGATAGACCAAAATAGATGACTTTCTGCTTTTGAAAAGAATTGCTCAAAAATATTATGATTTCTTATACTTGTTCAAAGCTGACTGCTCATTTAGCTACAAAATAAATCAGCAATGAGTTGATCAACTTTCCTGGCTACATTTACAATTTTGGTGGTGCCATCTGTTATCATATTTTATTTTAAAATCTTTTTATATTTTAGAGGGTAGAGATGAGTGTTATAAAAAAATTGTAATTGCTAATAACAAGTAATATCATTAAGTTTGATCCTACTGGAAATACACACAACCCCAATTATCTCCCCACCCCCTTGATGTTTAACCACCAAAATTTATTAGCATCAATCCTCCTAATAAACAAACCATCCAGCAAAATTTCAGAAATTTTTGACAAAAAGCACAAGAGTTATTATTAATTAATTTAAGCTTCAAACAGGATGAACAAAATTGTGCCCCCCCACACACTCACACTAACATCCATATGTACAGAAATTATCCCCAAAATTTTGCATTTCTCATTAAAAAGTAAGTTTTGTTGCCTGAATGCTGTAACCTTTTTAGTTACCATGATTAAAAAGTAGCCAGTGCAATCACTCACATTCAAATAATTGTATTATATTTTCAACTGAAATTCTTATTTAATCCTAGACTTTATGAATTAAGAAAAATTATCAAACTGTCTAGCATAGTAATATGATACTTTTATGTTATTACTTTACATTTTTTAAAGGCAAATGATGTAAATTACTTTTATGGTTTAAATAAAAGCATTTAATACTTCTGTCTTTAATATATAAACATAAATAAAAAATAAATATTTGGCTTCAAACATTATTACATGCGTATCTATTTTTGCCAAATTTACTAGTAAAAAATATCAAATTACTAATATATTTACAAATGCATTTTTTACCTGATTACTAATGAACTGGTAAACCATCTACCAATAATGCAATTCCTATTCCTGAAGATGATATTCTTTTATAAGCAAATATAGTAGAACTATTAAAATGATTTTTTTTATATTATTATAATATGTTTTATGTGATTTTTTCTTGCTCTAACAACAAAGTAATTTTCTTTACTAATTATCTACCAACTTTGTGATTTATTCATTTCTCATTAAGAAAAAGTTATATTTGCCAAAGTCTCATTGGTAAACAAACTTTGTTTTATCATATGTATATAAAGAAATGAAAAGATTTCAAGTTCAAAGTGTGTATAAATTGAAATTGTTACACAGTTCAAAGTTTTTGAATATAAAAATAAATACAAAATTTAAAAACAATGCATAGAAATTTATTCGTGTTTATTCAATTTAATTTATAGTATTTTGAAAAAAAACAATTAAATGTATACCTGATCATCTTCACTTCCTGCTTCCATGAGAGATTGTTGGATGGCATATTGGAGAAGTTCGTCGTCATCGTCAATGCTCAGATGACGTAGTTCATTATTTCCTTTACAAAATAAAACAATATTTATTTAATAGCAAATTTATTGAGTCTGTCTCAATTCAAATCTATATTAATTATTACTATTATTAGTTTTAAAATTAGTTCAATTGACAAACATAAGAATAGATTGAGATTATTCAAAGATAATCTTAATCTATTCTTAATGAAAAATTTCAAACTTTTAAAAACAAAAATGATATTGAATTGAGACAGACATAATTTCAAAATAAAAAAAAGCATGCATTATCACCATGCAAAATATTTTTAATTGCATGCTTCTCTACTGGGAGTGAACATGCAATAATATATTAACTTAATTTTTATTTATCCTTTTAATAAAAACTAATTTTGCTGGGCACCATGCTTTAATAAATAAATTAATAAATTAAATATCCAGAAACAAAATTATTATACTTAAAATTATCTAAATACATTAGGTTTTTTTTTTATTTTATAACAAATATTTTAAGCACCAAAACAATTCCGAATATGGCAGCGACCGACTAATAAAATAAAAAAGCAATACATTTATTATAATTAACCCGAAGTGCCACGACTTTAGTCATGCAATAATAGTCAATGCTCTCCGGTTTACCCCGAAGAGATGTCTCATGCATTTTATTACATTACCTAGCAGTGTCCCACACCTGCCTGTCCTCCACACCGCTCATGCTATACTGGAGCCAGAATAATGCAAATGAATGTTAATTTTTTGACAGCCTCAAGTTTTGAGAGCAAGCTTATTAAATATACATATAGAAAAATATGATTATGATTAAAATCAATATTTCACATTACAAATTATTTTCAATTCTTAAAGTAAAAAAATAGTAATGCCAACAATATTTTTTCTGTGTTATTTGTTAAAAAAAAGGCAATGAATGAGCAAACAGAACTTACTCATTCATTCATTTGCAATATTCTGACAAAATTCTTTCCTTATAGATATGATAAATTCTTAAATATTATAATTAATTAGTTAAAAAATAAGTTCTAAACATTTATTATTACACAATTTTGGCATCAAGATAAAAACAAAACTAAACAATTTTATAATGAAATGATCATCTTAAATAAAAAATTATTTAAAAACAATAGTTTAATAAAATGTACTTTAAATACTTCTGCATTTCACTTCCAATATTACATGTTGCACAGATACACACATCTTCAATATTAATCTATTGCCATTATTTATATGATAGAAAATACTTCATTTTTAAAAATAAACAAATTGTTTTCTGGAAGCCTTAATCCTTTTAATCTATTGAATATTTTCATGGGATAAATTTGTCTTCAAGAAAGAAAAATGAAGATTCCGAATATGTAAAGATTTATCCTTGAGAACATTCAACAGATAACAACTTGTAGAAGGATTATATATAAGTTTGGAGCAGTGAACCAAGTTAAAAATTAGATTTTCATAAAAGTACAGAATTTTTTTCTTAAAATCAACAATGATTTATTTTATTAAATGTTGTTATTAGAATATTAATAATATATATGATAAAAACTGAATTAAGGTTGTTTATGTGATAATATGTACAAATTATATGTATGCATTCATAAAATATAGATATTACAAAATAATCCTGAATTGAAATATAACATATATTTATAAATTACTAATTTCAGTGAAGAAAATTAGTTCTTTTTTGCTGTGTAGATTTGTTAGTCAATTCTAATGATATACTATATGATAACTGAAGTTATTTTAATGTTATATTGATAACTGAAGCTAAAATACATCTATTTTTCTTCACCAAACAAAATTCCATTGATTCATGGGTATTCACACAAAATATCAAGTCATTCTGACCAGTGTTTCTTTTTTCAGACCATTGTGAAATTGGTACTTTAATTATAATCCCTCAGTATTTTTATATTTTGTTGGCAACATTGTCATGAGATTTAGATAATTAATAATTAGGATAATCACAATACATGATAGATGCATCTCTACTGATGAATAACATTTTCAGTCACTACAAACTATGAAGACTTCCAAACTGAAAAATGTGATTAAAATATAATCTTCTGTAAAATGGAATCATTAACTACAGTTATTCTGTTAGAGTTTACAGAAAAAAAATTAATAATTAGAACTAAGAATGAATCAAAAAGTAAAGTGATTTATATGTAAAGACATCATAATACAAAGCCTAATGGCTATATTAATAAAAACGTATTAAGCACTCTTTTAATGAGTCAATATTTAGACTAGTTAATAACAACTTTGTTTAAAAATGCTTCATTTATGATAATTTCATTGTAGAATTGTACCACTATAGGACAGCAAGCACAGATCAGTTTTTGTAGTCATATGACATTAAAAATATGTAATGGCTTCATCACAAACCATATTTTTAAGGGATAGAGTATATAATAAGAATATCCCACATTACCAAATAATATTTTGTATTTGGCTTTGACAGAAAAATAATGTTAATCTTAGTTTGGGACTTTAATGATCCAATATCAGATTACTGTATTACTTTGAGGGAGGCACTGTACAATGAAATATTGAAATTAATGCTGAAATGATAATTTGCAACAAGTACAGAAGTTTTGCTCTCCAAAGGATTCTTTTACTCCATAACAATGCACGTCCACATTCTACTGCAACCAAGATTGAAACAATAAAGCAGCTGAAATTTAAAGTTTCCCAACACTCCTAATATAGTCCCAATTTTTCTCAATCTCCATGTTTGAACCACTAAAATATGATTTATGAGGAGAAAAATTGTATATATATATATATATATACTAGTCACTTTAATCCAAAAAATCTTTTTTTGTTGATGGTCTCACAGCATTTAGCACTTCCGGAAAATTAGAAAATTAAGACATTATTGCACAAATTGAATGCAAGCTACATATGCATTTCGGATTGTTGTAAATCTTCAACCCCTCTTCAGTGCTGTTAAAAAACAACAACAGTATAATTAGGAATCCGACAATACTTATATATTGTAAAAAGTTTTTACAACAAACATTTACATGTTTCATAGAAAAACGACATGAAAATTCCATTTTCACATTTGCCTTTTCCATAAATATACATTAAAAAAACCACTGTATCATATAAAATATAAATTATAATGACATAAAACATAAAGATTCACTAAAATTCAAATCTTCTTTTACTTTAAATTTATCCAGTATTTATGTATTCTATTTTCTTTCTCCATTTATTACAATAAAAGTAACTTAGCATCACTTCTTCTAGTTAAAGTACTGTATAAGTGTACATTATATTATATTACAAAACAATTTGAAAAATTTTCAATATAATACAATTTCAAAACCTCTAAATAGCAAAAGTATACATTTTACTTACAGATTTTTTTCTTGTGTTTGCATATATTTACTAAACAATAATTTTTCACAACATACAAAACTCTAAGTTTTACAATGAAACATATCCTAAACTGGACTACTATTATATTCTGTGTGTCAAAACACCATCTATTAACTGGTACCATTGAGGGTTGATTGTCATGCCTTCTGAAATATTAATTAAATTATCTTTTGGTTATTTATTTATTTCAATGTGTTATTTGAATTTTCTTTTGTAAATATCTTTCTCAATATTTAAAATTTTTATATTATTTTTATTAATTTGACAGTTATTGTTTATTGTGTGGTTATACCATGGAGGAGAATTATATTTAAGATGGATAGCAGCTTCATGTTCTTTGATTCTTATTCCTAATGTGAGGTCTGTTTTGACGATATAAGTTTTTGGATTGTTACAATTACATTCTATTTTATAAACCACTCCAACTTTTTTAAGGTTATCTGTTTTTTTATGTTTTTATTATCATCATGTTGTTTGTTAATAATTTTATATATATTTTGTGGTCAAAGATGTGGCCAGACTGATATTATCCTTTTTTTACGGTTATTGTTGCAACTTTTGAAATTAGAAGAACTGGTGCTAAGTTACTTTTATTGTAATAAATGTATAAAGAAAATAGAATACATAAATACTGGATAAATTTAAAGTAAAAGAAGATTTGAATTTTAGTGAATCTTTATGTTTTATGTCATTATAATTTATATTTTATATGATACAGTGGTTTTTTTAATGTATATTTATGGAAAAGGCAAATGTGAAAATGGAATTTTCATGTCGTTTTTCTATGAAACATGTAAATGTTTGTTGTAAAAACTTTTTACAATATATAAGTATTGTCGGATTCCTAATTATACTGTTGTTGTTTTTTAACAGCACTGAAGAGGGTTGTAGATTTACAACAACCCGAAATGCATATGCATTCAATTTGTGCCATAAAGTCTTAAGTTTCCGGAAGTGCTGTGAGACAGTCAAGCAAAAAAGATTTTTTTTGATTAAAGTGACTATATATATATATATGTTACTGTGAAAGACCAAAATTAGAGAATGTCGATGATCTCCAGTGAATGTTGACACATACAAAATTAAAAAACATTGGTAAAGATTTAATATTTGCTTATATTATTATACATTTGAACAGTCACCGGTGTATGTCGACAAGCACAGATAAGCTTTGGTGGAGTTCGAAATGACACCCAAGAAGCCGATGTTGACAGAAAGACTGACACCTTTCTGTCGACATAGTTTTCCTTTGTTCTGCCATGATTGAAATCCAATTCCTTTGTTCTGCCACGATTGAAATCACGTGGTATCTATTTGTTATACTCTGGAACACTGCTGTTTGTCAGTCTTATGCAAAGTTTGCTGGTGCATGCAATGTTTTCTTAAATTTTATTTTTTTATCCGATACCCTAATTTATATTGAATGGATACTGCAGTGAACCAAGAACTTTTTTTTTTTGAAAAGTTACATGCATTAATTGCAAGTAAACAAGAAGACAACTGTTTTTATTTTTCTCAAGAAAAGTAATCTAAAATACTTTCTGAAGTGATTTCTGCTAAAACTAAGTGCAGCACACCTTTGGATTACAGACGATTAAAATATTTTGACATTTTAAAAATTAATGATGAAGAGAAATTAATT